AACGCTCTCCAGAGCTTTCTGCACCATGATCTCCAGCCCTCCCACCATCCACAGCAGGGACATGGCATGCCACTTGGACAGCCCGTGGGAAGAGTGGCCAAGGTAGGACACTGGGATGCAGGGTCCTGCGAGGGGTGTGTGTGGGGGAGCGGAATGGCATACCTATCTGAGGGGTCCTCCGCCTTCCCAGAAAAAAAGGTGGTGACGTCCCGCCATCCCTTACTGCTGACTCCCTGGACCTGGAAGGAGATGGGATGGGTTAGCCAGGGTCAGCTCCCAACTGCACAGGTGGTTCTGGGCAGGCCTCTGCCACCAATGCCAACGTATACTGTCCTGCTAAGAAGACCTGGGTCGCACGTAGGAGGGGTGCCTCATGCAGACAGGCATGCATGCACACACAGACATGCACACATGTAAGCACACAGAGACATGCTCATATGCACACACTCGAGTACATGCACACAGACACGTACAGACACACTCGTGAGCAGACATGCTCACATGCACACACTCGAGTACACACATGACCAGTCTCACACAGGCTCACATGCACACTCAAGTAGAGACTCACTGAGCACACACAGTTGTATATGCACACCCAGACACGCACAGACCTCTCATGAGCACATAGACACTCACATGCACACACTCGAGTACATGCACACACATGACCAGTTTCTCACACACGCAGGCTCATGTACACACACTCGAGCATGCACACACACACGTGAGCACAGAGGCAGGCTCACATACAACCTCAAGCAGAGACTCACTGAGCACATATTCTCACACACGCAGGCTCATGTACACACACTCGAGCATGCACATACACACGTGAGCACAGAGGCAGGCTCACATACAACCTCAAGCAGAGACTCACTGAGCACATACAAATGTACATGCACACACAGATAGATGCACATGTCCACGCTTGAGCACATGTTCACACAGACAAGCACAGCAACACTGCAGCAGCACTCAGGTGAATACGCAGACACCCACTGCTTGGTTTTCCGTAAGTGGCGTCCCCCACCTTCCTCCCAGCTCATCCTAACAGTTGCCCCATTGTAGGCAGGAACACCTTGTGTGGAGAACACAGGCCATGGCCTCTGAGAGCTCACCCCCAAACATGCCAGAGGACAAAGGGCACGCAAGCGAAAGCTCTCTGCAGGCACGCCTTCTCTCCACAGAGGCCAACGGAGAGCCCAGTGGGCTTCCTCCCAAACAGAGCCCCTCATCCTGGTGGACAGGACACCACCTCTGCCCCGCCCCCATGGGATATGTTAGCAGTAACAGGAGCAAAAACTGCTTGAGCCAGGGTGAGCACTTACCATGGGAAAGGCCAGCGGCGGCAAGTCAAGAGAGGAAAAGCGACAGGTCAGCAGCTGACAGGCCCCCACTGGGTCAAGCTGTTTCCATATTCCTCCAGCCCTCAGGCAACCGGGCAGCCCTCATCACATCCTGGGGCCAGTGGCTGCTGCCAAGGCTGGCCCAAGCCTGCATGGGACATCAGGCGCCCCACCCTTGCTCTAGGTGCCTGACGCCGTGGAATATGGAGACTGGCTTCAGCTGTGCCCGCGCACCAGGCGGGGCCTGCCCTACCTTGAATGCCAACTGAGAAACCCCACTGGACACATCATCAAAAAGCTTTCCCTCCTTCACCTGTGGGCATTGAAACAGCGTCGTCAGTGGGGGTTGGGAGTGGAAAAGTCCAGTGAGAGCTGCACAGGAGAACGGCAACACAGCTGTGACAGTGTCTGAAGCCGCAAGTGCATGTAGACATCTAACGTGTTTGCGTCCCAAAAAGCTCTACAGTGACCCCCAAAATAACTTCAGAATCACAAGACTGTCACTTTAAGGTCTAGGAGCTGCTCCAGCAGTCACTGCCAACATGGCACCTACCGCCTGCTAATGACCAGGACACTGCAAGTCGAGGAAAAGCTGACAGAGACCTGTCCACTGAGTCAGTCCCCCAGCCATGCTGCCTCCCTGCTGTGAGGGGGGGAGGAACTGGTGAGGCTCAGGCTGGTCTCCCCTAAAGGTCTCTGTCACCACAACCTCCTCTGAGGACAAGCAGGCACTGTCCCCAGCCTGAGCCTCCTCTATGCACCATGGCTAGGGCCGTGTGGGAATGAGGCAGAGAGAAGGGAGTGAGAAGGGGCCCTAGGCAGGGGAGGGGACAGGCTGGGGGGATCTCAGAGGCCCCAGCCACAGGAGGAGGACATCAGTGCCTGAAGAGCAGAGTGGGCGGCCAGGCGGGGCTGAGAACAGGAACACACCTGCTTCCCTAGAAATGAAGGCTGGGGGGTGACAAGCACTTCACCCGTGGGTGCAGCCCCTTACCCTCTCCTGGGCAGGCTTGAGGACGTTCTCGTTCAGGCTGTGGCCCAACTCCGAAGCCTATTGGGAGGGAAGCGGTGTGAACACCAGCGGCCACACGCCGCAGGATGTGGCGCATGTGGGCAGAGCAGGGCAGCACAAGCTTTGCCAACAGGGAGGCAGCTGACATGAGCACAAACAAGGGACAGGTCATGGAGTCATGGAAGAAGGGCAACAAACGATACCCGATGCACACACGGCCGCCACCCAAAGGCCAAGAGACTGCTGCCCCTCACCACACGCTCTTGCAGGGAGGGCCCAGGGGATGCAGGGGCTCCCCTGGGGGTCTTCCCCCATGCTCAGCCACAGCCACCAGCAGTGGTTGGCTCGTGGGAAGATGCCTCACGGCTCCATCCATAAGCACAGTGGAGCTGATGACTCCCTACCTACCAGCCAGCACCAACTCATGCCCAGGGCCCACAGAGCCACGCGGGCTGAGGCCCAGCCCAACCGCCTGCAAGGAAGGGCATGGGGCCAGAGGCTGCAGAAAAGAGCTGTGCATGGGGAAGGGGCTCGGCCTCTCCTGACCCTGACCACGGTTAAGGGCTGGGCCATGAAGCACCTGGGGATGTGGCATGAGGGGTCTTCTCTTCCCTTATGGCCGAGAAAAGCACTGGCCAGAGACATAAGGTGGGAACAGCTCCACAGTACAGGCAGGCTACTCCCCATAGGGACTACCCTCTCTTTGATTACCCAGCGTGAGGTAACTAAACCATGAGATGCAAGTCTGGCTGGCTGCTCCATTTCCAGGGCTCCCCCAGGCCCACCCAGCGCCCTACACAGGCAGCACCCTACATTCTGGATCTGAAAGGAGGGGTGCAGACCAAGTGTCTGCAGCACCCAACAGCCAGGGAGGGGTCAAGCAGAAGCACACATGGTGACACGAGGGACCGCAAGCACACGAGCAGACACGCGGGGAGGACGCACACTCTCAGCAGAGAAGGGGTGCATGCTCGAGCAGACATGGGCTTTACCGGCTCTGGCTGCTGCTTGTGACCCCAAAACTTTACCCAGACAGCAGGAGACAGGTTAGGAGAGAGAGAGAGCAAAGCAGTGGGACCACAATTAGCACTACCAGGGAGCATCTCAAACCACGCCACCCAACGGAGCTGTTCCCAGTGGCATCGCCCGGGCTGAGGTATCACCGAATGCGACCTTAGGCCTAGCCTGCTCCTGCCCTCAAGTCTGAGTATTCTTGTGCTCCAAACTCACCACATTCCTGAATCACAGGAGTAAGCGCAACTCGGGCCTGAAACAGGCTTTGAGACAGAGCCAAGGAGATGTCCCTAGAGTCGGCCACCAGTGGCGTGCATGGCAGGAAGACACCCCAGGAGATGAGAAAATCCCGCCCCACATACAGGGGTGACAGGCACCTGGTGAGCACCGAACTCCCCTCATTCAGGGTACAAGCACCTGTCCTGAAAGTCTCCCACAGCTCCAGGCCTGTTGCTGTGGGTTGAGTATGTCCCCTAAAAGTTCAGACTTGATCCCCATTATAACCACGTTAAGAGGGTGGGAAATCCTATGATGGTATTTGACAGGTGGGGCCTTTAAGAGGTGATTGGATTGTTGAGGACTGTGCCTTCGAGAATGGGTAAATCCACCACCGATGGTTTAGTGGTGGTCATGGGTGCGGCTCTGATGGCTTTGAAAGGAGAGTGAGTGAGGTTAGCTCTCTCTTGCTAAGCTGATTCATCATGTGACAGTCTGAATGACTGTAGAGCCACCACCAAGTGCAAAGCCCTCACCAGATGTGCCCCCTGGACTGTGGTCTTCCCAGTTTCGGGCATTCCGTTACAAGCAACAAAAGTGGACTGATCTACCCGTGCAGCCCAAGCTTTCCTGGAGAGCCACATGTGGGCCACTGCCCCGAGTATGGTTCTGGCCCCCAAGCCCTGTGGAGGACTGCCCAGACCAGAGCCCTGACCACCACATGGGAACTGCTGGGACTACTAACCATCTTTTGAAGAAGAAAAGAAATGCCAAGGTGGGAATCTGTCACTGCCTGCAACAGAAGCACACACCACCAGGGGCAGAGCCATTCAGGTCCATGGAGCTCAGGCCCACCTCATACTGCCACAATAGCACAGAGATGCTGGCAATGCCACTGCCTGCAACAGAAGCACACACCACCAGGGGCAGAGCCACTCAGGTCCATGGAGCTCAGGCCCACCTCATACTGCCACAATAGCACAGAGATGCTGGCAATGCTGAGTGGCCGAGCCGGGCGGTCCTGCTCCATCCCAAACTAGGAGGCCAGCTGCACCGCAGCTGTGCACTGCACCCGCTGCCAGTGGAAGGGGAGGTGTGCTTGGTCCTGCAGGCCCTAAGCAGGTGTGGCCTCTTACTGCCCTGCTACACCACGCAGCCATACGAGGGACCAGCTGACCCATGAGGAACTGCAGGTAGCAAGGTCCCCTCTCTTCTCTGCTGGGACCCTGGGCCCTGAGCACATGTCCTGGGAAGGGGAGAACCCAGCGGCTTCTGGACACTGCATGTGACGTCACAGACTCAGGAGTTTAAAAGGTACCGGAGTGCAAATGCTTCTCTTTTGTTACCTTTTGACTTGCTTGGGATCCAAATTTTGTAGCCTAAAAGGAAACACAAAGATAGGGCTTTTCAGCCCACTGCCTTAACCCCTTAACTCTGAAGGCCAGGCTTCATCCCCACAGGGATCGGATGGATCCTCAGTTCCAGAACTGTCTCCTGATGGCCACCCAAGGCTGCCAGCTAACCTGACAGCTCCGAAGAGCTCAGACGAGCTGTGGGGGCACTTGTGCTAGCACAGACATTGGCTCCCCTCTGGAGAGGCCAAGGTGCTCAGATGAGCTGCAGGGGGACTTGTGATAGCAGACATCAGCTCCCCTCTGGAGAGGGCCAGCCAGTGTGCTATGGTGGCAGGGGTGGGGAGCCACACCAGCATCGGCCGTGTCCAGGACTTGGGGGGGGGTGGTGGCAGGCAGGGCCAACTCTGTCTTCCAGACTGTGGGAACTAGGCCCTGGAGCCCACCGATGCAGACGACACAGACTGGGGGAGACCACACCACCCCAATGCTGTCCTTGTGGGCTTTCCCATGGGCCCAGGCCCTGCCTTTCCCCAAGAGTGCCCCTTACCCTGAAGCAGGAAGCAGCTCAGTGGCCAGCACCCCAGTCACTTTTATATTTGGGGAAAGAAAGACAGGGCCTGGCCGTGGAGCCTGGACCTCCCTGGCCTGTCTGCTCTGGGTAGCAACCAGGCGGCCTCTGTCCCTGCTCAGGGCTCTCCCTCCTCTTCTCGGACAACATTTCTCTTACACCACGGTCACGCAGCCCAACCCTAGGCTCCTCTCCAGACCCACCCGTCACCGTGTTCCAGGCCTGCTTCTTACAGCCCCGCACTGTCTGCAGCACTGGCGGGGCCCTCACGTTTTCTTACATTCCATCGTCTATGCTGACTCAAGCCCCAGATCTTCCCCTCGTTTCAGGTGGAGGGACAGGCAAGAGTGAGGGAGAAAACCCGACTGTCGAGGTGCTACTCTGAAGACCCAGAGGAAGAAACTCAGGGTGCTAGGTGCCTCTGACCCACTTCACGGGGCCTGGGACAAAGTGGGGTCCCGTCTGCCTCCCACTCTCCTCAGGGCAAGTCAGCATCTGCAGGCAGCTTGTCTGATGTGAACAGAAACACCCACAACCACAGCAAGTGCAGGGCCACCAGAGCCTTGGGCCTGTCTGGCTGGGGGCAGTGAAACCCCACTCACAGGAAGGAAACCTAACCCCTGTCACCCATGGTCAGAGCCCCCAGGACCCCTCCCCCCACATTCCCTCCTCGGCTCCCAGAACCCCAGGCCAGTGTACGTCCTGCAAGACCTGGTGGTGCACTGGGGCCAGTTACTTACACCCTCCTTAGCTGCTGAAGCAAACCTGCTGGCTCCGGAGGTAAAACTGCTCCAGCCCTGTGAGGAAGCACAGAGAACGACCCCTGTTAGTGTCACATGTAACCACACCTGGACCCAATCCATGCCATGCTCTGACCGCAGAAAACCTGAGCACTCCAGTCTCGGCAGAGGCTACCTTAACACCCTGCAGTTCCTGTTTTTAATAAGGAAATGCAGCATCCTCACGATGTTTACAGATCAACACCATGGCACCTGCCGTCCCTGCCATCCTGGCCAGCCGCAGTGCTCAGCACACCACAGGCCCGTGACCGTCCACCACCCTCCCACCACCACGAGAGGAAGAACGCGGCAGACCGGAGCCTACTCTGCAGGGCAGGCAGGGCCTCCAGAGCCATCGAGCTCGTGCCGCTGTCTCCTCCCTCCTGCGTCCCCACATGGGGGCATACAGAGGGCGGGCAGGGCACAGGCCGCCACCACAACCCACTCCCCCTCCCCTAGGTTCAAGGTGATTTTCTCCTAAGCCTTCTGCAGTAATTTGAAGCTATTCATTATTCATTAATACGAGTGTCTTTCTTAAACCACAAGTTACCCCCTCCCTTCTAAAAGAAACGCAGGGGGCCCTACACTTCAAGCAGCAAGTAAGTTCAGCTGTCTCCACCAGAGAATGATCAGCAGAAGGCAGAGAAGACACGGGGCGCGGCCAGGAGCGGGGAGGGAGGTCTTTAGGCCTTAGGCTAAAAATCTGCTTTTCTTCCCAGTGACTGCAGGGAACGTGACCCGAGCTCTACACTCATGAGAGCTCCTGGAGATGGAAACTGCAGTTTTAAATAATTCTTGAATAAGTGATTTATCCATTTTTGGAACCACACACATGGTGAAGAATTCGGCACGCAGCAACCTCGCCCCCAGGCCAACCAGTCCTGCCCCCCAGTGGCACATGCGGTGTAGAAAGAGTCCTATTTCCACCCCTTCTTGCATGACACAGCCCCTCCCCTGCACCTTGCTGGTTTCCACTGGATGTACTGTACAGACCTTGTCACGTCACTATGAAAAGCCCCTCCTCACCTTTTCACACACATGCAGTCAGGAATGACCGCACTCACTGCCACTCAACCCACTCTCCCTGGCCAGACCCCCTCAGGTCGTTTGCAATTTGCAGATAACAATGCTCAATGAATAAAAGCCATTTCTTAAAAACAGTAGGGCCGGCCCCGTGGCTCACTCGGGAGAGTGCGGCACTGGTAGTGCTGAGGCCGTGGGTTCGGATCCTATATAGGGATGGCTGGCGCGCTCACTGGCTGAGCGTGGTGCAGACCACACCATGCCAAGGGTTGCGATTCCCTTACCAGTAAAAAAAAATAAAACAGTAAAAGTTTCCTTGGAAAATGAAACTTTGACGAGATATACTTCTGTGACTGGTAAAATGACCTGGAGCTGCCCTGAGAGCATATGGGTCCTGCCAGCACGGCCCAGCACCGCCACACTCAGCGGGGACAGCTCTGTGGGCTCCATACAAAACCATCAGTTCTTGAGAAGAAGGTTCCTTGTTAAATTTGAATACATATTTTGTAGCCAAAGCAAGTAAGTGACTGAACGCATGTGGGACCTGAATAAAGAACATTTCACTAAAGGTAGGGGGAGGAACCTCAAATCAGAATGAAGCCAGAGCAGTTGTTCTGGGCTGCCTGGCACAGCCCGACTGGGTCTGCCTGGCCATGGCTTGGGATGCCCCTTGAGCCGGCCGCACACGGGTGGCACAGGCCTCACAGGGCCCACGCATTCTCACCGAGTACAGGGAAGACATGGCATTGTTGAGGAAGTCGTCCTCTCTCTTCTGAGGTGGCGCTGTGTTCCCAAACCCCATGTAGCGATTCCCCTGGGTCCTGAAAGCAAAGCACAAACAAGCAACAGCCACTGGCATGAATCCCGCGGCTCCTGGAGGCTCCAAGACCATGGGTGGGGCAGGGGGCAGAGGGGGCAGGGGCTCTGAGGACACACGAAGTCACACTTGCTCTGCTCATTCAAAAAGACCCTTATTGCCACAGGGTCCCCAGCAAGACCCAAAACCCAGTTGCTAGAACATTAAAATAGCTTAGAACTCGAGGGATAAAAATTCATTTACAGGTCAGGCAGATTCCAGGAAGGAAATTTATTTTTTCTTCTAAGTACAGTCATCCCTTGGTATCCATAGAGGATGATTCCAGGACCACCCGCAGATGCCAAAATCCACAGATGCTCACATCCCTGACAGAAAATAGCATAGCGTTTGCATACAGCCTATGCATACCCTCCCGTACACACTGTCACCTCTGTGTTACTTACAATACCTAATACAGCATAAATGCTACATATACAGTTGCTATGCTGTACTGTTTTTTAAACATGTACTAAATACCTTTAACCTATGGTTGGCTGAATCTATGGATGTGGAACACTTAGATCCGGGGAACTGCCTGCATTAGGTTTTCTCTACACTTAAGGCCCCCAATTCAAAGTGGGGCTGGCTGGGCTTCCCGCAGTCAGACCCCGCATCATGCAAGCTCCGATTGTGCACCCAGTACACACAGGAAGGATGGCCTGGCCTGCCCCGAAGGAAACAGTCCTACCCCGATGGGCTAGCCCTCGAGTGGGTGAACCCACTGCGCCCGCCTGAGGTGCCCCAGCCTGCAAGGTCTCACCCTTGATAGGAGCCAAGGTCATCGTTCAGCCAGTCTTCAAAAGCCTTGTCTGAGGATGTGGTCACATTCTGCAGCTGGCCAGAGGCTCTGAAACCAAAAGTAAAGGGTCAGTGAGGCCAATGCTAGAAGAGCAAGTGTAAGGCAGAGGCCCTGCAGCAGGGGTAGTCCCAGCAAGGCTGCTGGAAACCATGTGGGCTGCGTCAGGGATGCCTGGAAAGCAGCTGTGGCCAGGTAAGCCCCCAGGTCTGTCCAGCAGGCTGCTTGGGCTCAGACATTAAAGGGACCCTGCGCCTGCCATGTTGCAGGGAGGCAGCTGGGAGAAGGGGCCAGGGGGGACATGAGCCAGGAGATGAATGGAACTGTCAGTGGTGCAGGACCTTCCAACAGAAGAACCTTGACACAGCACCACCCAGGGCAGGAGGCAGGACCCTGGGGCTCAGTGATGGGGGAGTGGGGCACCTGTGTGAATTGGGAGCCTCCTGGGCCCTGTCATTCCATGCCAGACCCCCACATAGGACATTCCTTGCTGCAAAACACGAGAGCAGAAACATGGGGATTAGCTTGGCCATTGGGGCCTGCACTACAGGAAGCGTGGCCTCAGGAGCCATGAGCGATGTGCAGCCATGGAGACATTGGTACACTACACCCCACTGTGCCTCTGTGCATGTGGTGGCCACATACCATGCACACATCTGGAAGGAGATGCCCAGGGCTCACTGCTGAGGAGTGGGGAGACACTACTGTGTATTTTGGACATGTCTTTATTGGTTGAATTTCTACTAAAAGCTTGTGCTGTTTTGACAATTTTTAAAGCTGTTTTTCCCATCGACTTTTGGGAACAGCTCACAAATGCAGCTGTTGCCACAACGGTGTGGAGAGGATCTGTGGGCCCTGAGCTATGGCTGAGAACAGGACAGAGGCCCAACAGCAGGCCAGAGGAGTAGCTACCGGTGGGCAGTGGACGGCAGCATCCTGGGTTGAGGGGGGGTCCAGTTCTGGGCTGGTGATGACTCCAGAGACCACTCTCTGCCTTCAGCCAGGGCGGCCACCTGACAGGGGACAGGGGCTAGTTAGAGCACCAGACTGTCCTGAGACACCCGTGCACACTGGCAACTCTTGCGCACTCAACCGACTACAACCTGCCCACGCGCCACCCACACAGCCCCTCCCAACATCCGCGGCCACAGGCTCAGGGTCATGGGCCAGAGGTGAGCTGTGCCACCGAGGTCTGGGTCGGCATGGCTGCAGCTGTACCCAATTGGCCTTGCGGTTTTCTCAGAAGTGCTGCCCCTGCTGTGCACTACAGCAGGTACCTGCCACAGTTCCTTCTCTCCCCCACGGGAGGGCAAGGGCCACCTTCTACCCCTGCTAACTATAGGCCACTTGTTTCCCCTTGGAGCAGAAAACTCTACTCAGGATTGGGTGAGGGCCACACACCCCTGTCTGTCCTTGGCCTGTCGGCACGGATCGGAGCATCCTAACCACAGAACCATGAAAGACCACCATCCAGCCGCCACCAACAGTGCAGCTGTCCTGCCACCACGGACAGGAGAGAGCCAGGCCTGCCTTTACCTTATCCCTGAAGAGGGCTGCCGCTCTGCTACTGTACTTCTCCTGCAAGGACCAGCAGGGGTCGTAATCCTCCTGAGACTCCAGGAACGCTTGGAATTTAGCATTCCCACCCGCTTTCATCTTCTCCAGCTCAATGTCCTTCCACTTGTCCATAGTCACAGAGCGCACAAAGCTGGAAACCACAGGCTTCACCTAATTACCAAGTACTAGGGATATCCAGGAACCCCCACACCCACCCTACACCGGGTTGTGAATTAAACACATGTGCTTCCTGTGGCAAGACAGCAGCCAGAAGAAGCTACACAAAGTCTGAGTAGCCAGCAGCTGACAGCCCTGGGACATGTGTCACTGGAGTGGGTACCAGCCCACAGGCAGGGAAGCGGCCCTGAGCTTCCCTGTCCTCCAGCACTGCTGATGGCAGGCACCCATCTTAACACACAAGGGACGTAAAGCTAGACACAGGATCTTCATGGAGCCTGAGCAGCAGGACACTGACCTGAGGTGCACCCCAAGCCCGCGGTGTTTTCCCGAGCACTCCAGGCAGATCCAGATGCCATAGGTCACACTGACCCACTGAGGATTAAACGCACCACACTCAAAACACACCTGCAAAGGGGCCACATGTGACTCACTCGGCAGCTCAGGACAGGGCCCAGGGACCCCAAAGAACTGACAGGTGCCCCAGGAGGGGCAGAGGAGGGAACAGTCAGCATGTGCTGCGGCCCTGGATGAGGGCACTAGTGCCGACAAGTCCAACAAGGCTGCTCAGGGTGGCTGGAGGGTGGGGGGTCAGGGCAGAGCTGGAGGTAGCAGGGAATCCTGCCCGGAAACTGGTGCAAAGGAAAGAGCCTCCCGAGTGATAAAATGCACAGACCCATCCTGAGAGCAATATACCCTCAGAAATGTGGTAGGAGCCCTCACCCCCAGTGTCCAGCACTGATGGATACCAGACATGGCCTGGCACTCTAACAGTGGCCATTCACCCAGGACGCCAGTCGGCGTGAGCCATGCACTTTCACAGCCATGCCAGTGACCAGCCATGCCAGGGAGGGCACACCAGGGTGGGGCGGCCTGGAAGAATGTGGCTCGACCCAACCAAAGCTTGACAAAAGTGGGGGCTTACGTTGTTCCCATCCTGCACCCTCACTTCTTTAAGGACCTTCCTGGTTCTTGGGCTGGCCATGATGCTGCAAAGGAGAAAAATTAACTCTTTAAACTTACGAATTGGTTACTTTACAAGAAAAGTAGTAAACTGTCAGTTCAAAAACACTACACAACAGATAATCTCACAGGAAATTCCACTGGGCTGCTCTGCAGAGAGCAATGGGGGAACCGCTTACTGAAGGAAGCTGTTCTCCATATCCCCACATGCCCCCAGCCACAGCCAATGTAATAATCAGGAACACCACAAAATCACTGGTGTCACTGTGCTTAAGCATTACGTACCACCAAGCCTGCATAACTCATAAAAAGTCCTGTCTTTTAATAGTGAAATTCATAGCAAGGGTTGGTCTTTGTGCCCCCAGCCACAGCCAATGTAATAATCAGGAACACCACAAAATCACTGGTGTCACTGTGCTTAAGCATTACGTACCACCAAGACTGCATAACTCATAAAAAGTCCTGTCTTTTAATAGTGAAATTCATAGCAAGGGTTGGTCTTTATAAAACATGCACAGATTAGCTGCTAAATCTGATTTCCCACCTAAAAGGGTGGCACTCCAGACCTGGGCTGTCACTTTCAACAACAGGGAACCTGGGCACTCGCCACCCAACCCTCTCCTCCACCTCCTCACATGTGTGGGAAAGCTCCACCTATGACATGGGGCAGAAGCCATGCCCTAACTCATGTGTGAAAAGGCCACCTGCTGGAAGGTCTGTAGTCAGTTCCTCTGAGAGTCCATCCTGAGTGACGTAGGTAACAGACAGCATGGCCATGACAGCACAAGGCCAGTGGCCTATGGAGCACCAGACCTGCCACCTCGACTCACTGCTGGGTACCAGAACAATGAGGCTCAGGCTGAAGAGAAAAGCTATTTATTTCTCTACAGATCTACTAGCTTTAGCAAAGTTCAACTTTGACTGGTGGCCCATTTAATTGATAAGCAGGAAAATCACAACAAAAGACTCAAAGCTGAAGGAACAGTGCGCTACCAACCACAGTCCCACATGTAAACTAACCCACTGGTCCTGCACACACCACTGTGTGATCGGACTGTGGGAGAAAGAGTGTCCAGTCTAGAGACAGCAGACCTCGGCCTCAGGCCACCTCTGCCCTGGCCAGCCCACAACTGAGTGTGCTGTCTCTCCAAAGCTCATCCATGTCTCATTTTGAATGGACCTGTGAGCTGTTCCCTCTCATTCACACGGCAATACACATGATATGGAAAACATACCAGCACTCTGTGAGTAATGGAACGCTACATGTGTGAGTGTGGGCATTTTCACAGCGCTGTCTCTCTACTGCTTCACTGCTGTATTTGAGATGACTTTCAGACTAGCTTTATTAATGGTGTAGGTGGAACTTTATGATGAAGTGCAGCTTAAAAAAATCAGAAAAACCTCTGTCCTATGTTTCATTTTAAGTCTTAAGTATGCAGAAATAAGGTATTCACTGAGGGGACCCTGACTCTCTACCCAACCACGCCTTCTGAATCTAGAAGTCTAGACTCAGTATTCACGAGTACTCACTTTTAAGCTATTTGAAGTTAGGAAATAAACATCTATCTGCTTTCTATAACTGATCAGAACAAGACCACAAGTTCACCCTAGGCTCCCTTCTGCTCCGTGATTCTCTGCTGGGTAAGGGTGTTCTGAAACCACAGATCACAAGGCGAACACGTGAGCACTTACTCTGCCCGCAGGACTCGGCCCTGCCACAGCTTACTTGGGGGCACTTTCAACACGTTGGGCATCGCCTACGTGCAGCATTGACGGTGGAAGCAGGGGTAAGCACACACTTGGAGAGACACCCTGGCAGGTCTGACTTTACAAGGCCCTTTGGCCCCAGTCTTTTCACAGCAGCCACACGAGGGCCAGCACATGCGTGCCTGTGAAAAACCAGGGCCCATTAAGAGCAGGCTGCCCAGCTACAGGTCTCCACACTCAGTCCTGCTCTCTTTCCACAGCACTGTGCCTGCCTTCGGGGACTCATGTCTTGGTCAAGGGGAAAAGGGTAAATGAGAGTCAGAACTGCTAGGACTGCTCTGAATTTCCAGCCGTGTAAACTAAGGCAGAGGGTATTCACAGATGTACTAGAGAGACAAATGTGTGGAAAGTAAGTGTGCTGGCCGGGATTTAAAGGAACTCCCCTACATGACCCGTTTTGGATGTCGAGAGCTAAAGGATATTTGTTTTAGAGAACTAAAGGGCAGAAGCAGGGGAAACACACGTTCGCTATTAATAACATGAAAACAAAACCTCCTAACTTTCAAAAGCATAAATATGGTTTATCTTGAAAAATAATCCAAGTATTCTTAACACCTGAAACCCAAGATGACAAAAATGTACCTCTTTCTGCAAATGAACATAACTTCAGTAAACGTGGAACCAAATGAGGACACTGTTTCTCAGTTCATGAAGTCCCCTGTCAGACTACAAAACGTTCAGTCCCTAAGTAGGAACATTCTCAACATTTGAGATCAAAAGGGATATTTAAAGCCATTGCATAGTCCCTAGCTAGGGCTGTGATGCAGGTAACGGGTACAAATACTGTCTTTCTCAAAAACTGTCCGCAGCCCCCACATTATCCACATTTAAGAACAAAAGCCCTTTCTCATTCTTCAGAACAGATTGTTTCTGAACTTCGCAGAGAGATAGGGTCCCGGAAAGGGAGGCCTAAACGACCTCAGAGCCACGTCACCCCCCTGGACCAGCACGAGTCCCATTTCGCTGCTCTCGATAACAGAGACGGCAATAAATAAGCAGAATCTCCTCCCAGAATTAGAGGTTTGTGACTGCTTAGGGCAGACAGCAGCCCAGTTCTTCTTCTAACCCAAGGACACTGAAAAGGTTGAAAAGCCCCTCCCGGCTTCTTTTCCTCCCTCCCTCAAGACAAGCATCCAGGACACAGGGTGAGGGAGGAAAGCGGCCAAAGCAGCCGAGGCTGCGGCGAGACTGCCTGGCAGCCGCGGGACAAACCTCACTTCTCAGGAGCCGGGAGCCCAGCGCGACCTCGGAGGAGCCTGGCCGGCTGCGCGTCCAGCCCGGGTCTGGGTCCGAAAGAGGCAGGGCGGGCCCGGCGGGGACGGCTGCGGCGGGGTCGCCCGAGAAGGGCCGGGACTCCGGCCACCGAGCCGCGCGCTTACCTGGCGGGAGGCCCGGGCAGGGCTGGGTCGGGGTCGGGGCCGGGCAGGGGTCGGTCGGGCGCACAGGCCAGCCAAACAGAGGATGCGCGGGGAGCGCCCACAGGCCGCCACCAGCTTCCGGCTACGTTGCGCTGCGCGGTGCCTCACGGGAGGCCGGCGGGGGCGAGACTTCCGCCCTGTGCCTGGAGTCCGGAAGCGTCACCCCCTGGTCGCTATGGCGACGCGCCTCTTGCGCCGTCTTTCGTGTCCCGGAAGGTGGCCGCCGGCGGCGTGAACAGCAGGACCGCGCGTGAGAAGTGACTGCGTGTGTGAACTGCAGGTGACTTTCGGTTTTGTTTGCACTGTGTGCTTTTGCATACTTCTCATCGACCTGTGTAGCTTTCAAATAGTCAGGAATAAACGTTTTAATCGAGCTGTAACCTACGTGCAGTAAAAGGTGCAGTTGAATGAGTTTTGGCAAACGCACCCCGCATGTAACTCGACCACAATCGATTACAGAACATTCCAGTCAGAGGCAGCCCCTGTTCTGATTCCTATCCCCGTATCTCAGTTTTGTATGTTCTAGAACTCCATATTTATAGAATCATGAGAAATACACTCTTTTGTGACAGCTTCTTCCACTTTACATGATGTTTTCGAGATTCGTCAGTGGTGGTGTGTGCACAGCAGTAGTTCATTGAATGAATACGCCTCCTTTGTCTGTTCATTCATATGCCGGACACTGGGGCTGTTTCTAAGTTTTGGCTATAATGATCAAAGCTGCCTTGAAGTTCATGTATGAGTCTTTTTGGGGGGGGGTTTGTATTTCTCTTGGGTAATTACCTACAAGTGAAATTTCTGGGTGATGGGGTAGTAGTGTGCTGAACTTTGTAAGAAAGCACTAAACAGTTTTCTAAAGTAATTGTAGTGTTTTGTACTTCCACCAGCAATATGAGAGTTCCAGTTGCTCCACATCTTTGTAAACACTTAGTATCGTCAGTCTTTTTATTGCAGCTGGTCTAGTGGATCCAAAGTGTGGTCTCATTGCAGTTTATTCGGATTTCCTCCCATGATTGGCTGAAAGTTACCTTTCATGCTCTTAAGTTCCCCACACTTCCAGCTTGCCCCACATAAGCACCTGCCTGCAGCCAGAGGAAGCTCTTGGGAGGGAGTCAGTGGTCCTTGCAGTAAGAAGCCATTGGCATGCACTTAGATGGTGAGGGCTGAGGTGATGTGGGTGGGCACCAATAGCATCCACACAAGTGGCAATATGAGACCGAGTAGATTTCAGCATGAGATCCCATAGTCAGGACTGTGTAGGCTCCACAAGATCAAAGAGTGGGAGCTGTGTGCTAATCACAATGGGCTTCCTGGAAGAGGCAGATTACAAAAGAAGAGAAGTTGAAAAGGAGGAGAGGAAAAGGGAAAAGGCATTCCTGGAAAGGGCACAGCTGGAGCTAATATTTGACATCAAGTAATGAAACAACCAATGGTGGCTGAATTTCCAGTTTTCTGATCATACAGTAAAAAAGTCATAGTGCTGCCTCCTCAACCAGTCCCACCCCAGGCTCTGGGAGGTCTGGGGCTACTTTCACCCCCCAGAGGCCCCCAAATCCCCCGACCTAAGACCAGAGGTGTGGCCCTTCCAAGTCAGGGCAAACCTGCGGCCACACAGCATCCATGCGGCCTCTGCCTCCCTCTGCACTCTTAAGGCTTATGCAGTGACCAAGTAAAGGAGGAAAAGTGCTCATTAGCAATGGCAGAATCTGGGCAATAAAGTTGTGAATGGTGCAGAATATGTGACTGCAGATTGAAATTGGTTTATTACCCCATCTAAAATAGTTAGATAATTTGTTTTTCTTTTAGAACTGCTGGCAGTCTGTTAATTTTCAGTTATAGTAATGTGATCATCTTTGTGATTTCCTCCCTGAGGCCTTTGAAGTTCTCAATGTGAATAAAACTGAATGACATAATAGGAAGACAGTGAAGTGAAAACCACAGAGAAAATGATTACGCAAAGCAGGAGGGCTCTTGGTGCAAGCCTGGGCCACTCAGGTGACAGGAGCACAGCTGCCGCAAGCCATACAGGAATCCAGATCACCTGTGGGGTTGCTGGGGGACCTGGAGACCTCTTTCATCAGTGAAGAGGTTTCCAATTCCTATTTCAAGCCAGAGGCCCATGCACCCTGAGCACTTGCCAGAGTTGAAGCCCTGGGCTAATGAGGAAGATCTCATTTAAACCACACAACAGCTGTGCACATGCTTTCTGATAGGAACCCATTGCTCAGATGAGAAAACTGAGGCACAGAACAATTTAGTAATTTGTCAAAGGTCAAAAAGGCAGTAAGTAATGAAATCAAGGTCTGTTCCCATAAGTCTCTAACGTCCTCCTCAGAATAGAAGACAGTGTGTGGAGCTGGGCACCCACTAGGCCTGGGGCCAGGTGTGTCCTCTGATGGGGAACACAGGGTCCCAGAGGTCAGAACCACAGAGGTTTCATTCCAAACACAAGTAACAGAAAGTGGGCCAGGCCATAAGCACAGGTCCTCATGACCTGCATGGACACCCCAGCTGGGTCAGCCTGGTCCAGAGAATCCAGCCAGCTCCTGGCAGGTGGCAGAGCCTGAGGAAACAGCTGGAGCTACACAGGCTGGCATGCATGTGTGCACGTGTGTGTGTGTTCACTGGAGCATGTGATGTGTGTGTGCATATGCTTGTATGCACACCTATGTGTGCACAAACGTGTTTGTGCGCATTTGCTGTGCACATGGGTAGTGCATATGTGCACATGCACATGAGTATTGTGTGTGTGGGCACGTGTTCAGGCTCATTGGCTCAGGTTCCCATACCGGGTCCCCTGCCTGCACAGTGACAACAGGTATGGCCATGGGTGTGCCGGAGGGCAGCTGCCCACCTGGGGCTTCCCTACAAGGCAGGTCCTGCCATGTCTGCATTGGACAGCTGCTGAGGCTGAGGCTCAGGGCCACAGAGAGACGTATCAGGTGGCAGCAGCTTGCGTATGCAGGCCTCAGGCCACTCCCATCCCAGAAGACCCTGGGCCAGCTTCATTGGAATGACACTTAGTGAGCATGAGCAGGGCCGCAGACCCAACACACAGGCAAGCCCAGCAGCATCTTGGCCCGTGCCCGCAGGCCATTTCCCCATCTGCCCTCTGGCTGGATCAGCTCCTCACAAGGCCCCAGCGTGGTCAAGGCAACTTCCTGCTCTGGGAATACCAGTGGCTCTCAGGAAGCACCACTGCTTTTATCTAAAAATGCAGCCAGCCTGTGGGGGCCAGGGGCGTTGGGTATTGCAGGACCAATGGACATCTTGAAATGGCTTTCTAATCCTGTCGACTGGCCAGAGCACCAGGGCCCCAGGAGAGGCAGCGTCTGGCCTCAATGTCACCTGCGCCCCCAGTCTCCCTTTGGATTCTTATCTCCCACATTGGGCCCAGCCCACAGCCCATAGCTGAGCTCAGTTTACTGTCTAGGGGTGTTTCCCAGAAGTGTTTAGGGAGTGTCTGGGCCACACAGGCCCTTGCGGGCCTCCAGGGGGCAGCTAAACTCACTGGAGGCCCATCAGAGGCAGTTCACCCTCCCTACCTCCAGAGATCATTACAAGGAAAACCACTGGCAGGTGAGAGAGGTTTGGAAGTTGGCGGCTGGGTACGAGGACAGCCAGGCCCCCAGACCTCACCCACACACACGTGTTTATGATGCTCACAGTGAGTTGTGACACAGGGTGATCCAGGGGAGGAATTGGCCCCCGTGCCAGGCCTTGTGATGGGTCCAAAGTCCACAGGGATAAAGGGACATGTGATCCTTAGTCCCCGTCACCTACCTTCCATTATTCATCCCCTGCCTGTCACATCGTGGCAAACACTTTGATGTAGAAAATCCAGAGGACACAGAGGCACTTCCCTGAAGGTCAGTGCTGGCTCCTGTGTAGGGTTTTGGAGGATGCCATAGTGCCCACTGGAACCCCCTTACCCAGCAGTGCACCCACCCCCAGGTGTGGGCCTACTGGGTGCACACGGTTTATGGTGCGCCCTTCTCCTGAGAGTGGCCGTTGTCTGGCTGGGCCCCCTTGCCTTCGGGGCTCTGTGACATCATCCCAAGTTTTAACCAATGCCTGATGGTGGGAGCACAAGGGACCCCCATGTTGGGTGGGCCTGGCTCTGGCGTGCATCTCATGCCCTGGAGATGCAGGGAGGATCAAGGTGAGGCTGGTCTCCAGCTGAGAACCTCTCCTGGCTTAGCTCTTCCCCTCCCCATCTTGCATCACCAATGCCTGATGGTGGGAGCACAAGGGACCCCCATGTTGGGTGGGCCTGGCTCTGGCGTGCATCTCATGCCCTGGAGATGCAGGGAGGATCAAGCTGAGGCTGGTCTCCAGCTGAGAACCTCTCCTGGCTTAGCTCTTCCCCTCCCCATCTTGCATCCTACCTCCCTTTCTCCTGAAAGTACTCCTATGGTCTGAGTGTTTGTGTCCCCCCAAAATTCATGTACTGAAACCAGACCCCCAGTGTGGTGGTTTTAGGAGGTGAGGCCTTTGGGAGGTGATTAGGTCATAAGGGAGGAGCCTCGTGAATGGGATTAGTACCTTCATAAAAGGGACCCCAGAGAACTCCCTCACCCCTTCCACCATTTGAGAACACAGCGAGAAGGTGCGACGTATTAAGTAGCAGGACCTCACCAGACACCAAATCTGCTGGCACCTTGATCTTGGACATTCCAGACTCCAGAACTGTGAGAAATAAATTTCTGTTGACTATGAGCTACCGGGTCTAAGGTATTTTGTTATAGCAGTGAGAACGGGCTAGCACAAGCACCTCCCAGTGAATGACCAGGATCCCTTTCCCAGGTTCTGCCCCCAGCGAGCCTGACCCACCACAGGACACAGTCCCCTAAGCTGGATTTGGGGTTATTTGCTGTGACAGATGCCAGCACCTTCATGGGGGAAAGGGGAGGGACTGGCAGCTACAGCAAAGAACGGATTCCTCCCAAACCGTCTCCTTTATCTCTC